GGGGGGGGGACATGCCTATCTCAAGCAGTAGGGGCGCTGTGGCCCCACTACACATCAGCCCACATCAATGTTTTTGGAGTGTCGCACAGCACTGAATATGATTCAACACTTTGCTCCCGTGCTACAGAATCAACACGTGTTGATTCACACAGACAACATGATGACTGCTGCGTACATAACCATCAAGGGTGTGCGTTCAGCCCAGATGTTACACATTGCGCGAAAGCTACTGTGTTGGGCTCATCAAACCTGCTCTCTATTAGAGCGGTTTTACATATCCGGTGTTCTGAACAGAGGGGCAGATGTGACGTCCAAGGGCGGCCCACGTCACGTGGACCGGACCCTCCATCCAGATCTGATGTTTTCAGACGTAGCAGAAGTTGGCAAAGCAGCTGTGGACCTGTTTGCGACGCGAGAAGAACGCTCAGTGTCAACCATGGTTTTCCCTGAGCCCGCGAGACGATCCATCGCTGGGGGGGGACGCATTTGCTCACAGCCCGTGGCCCAAAACGCTTTTATACGCGTTTCTTTTCCCCCACCTCCTCTGTTTTTTACGGTTCCTGAACCGAGTTCAGGAGGAGGGATTGACAGCTCTCCTGGTGGCTCCCGGCGTGTGAACGCACCATGGTTCCCAGGCCTGCAACGTCTGTTGTCGGGTCGCCGTGGAACTGCCGTGGAGGGAGGATGCTCTCCTTCAGGCAGGAGGAGCGACCAAGAGTTACCCAGAAATAGGTCAACACCTGTGGGTCTGACCGCTGAGCGGTCCCACTTAGAGGATGGGTCTCCCTCAGGAGATGGTGTGCACAATTCAAGATTCACGTGCTGCATCCACCACAGTTCTGTACACATCAAAGGGGACGGCTTTTCAGCGCTGGTGTACAGAGAAGGTTTAGGCCACCTCATGCCTTTTAGGCGGCGTGTTGTTTTTCTACAACAGCTGATGGATAGGGAGTTGGCTTTCAGTACGCTTTAACGTACGTTGCAGTCATCTATTCCTGCCACGAAGGTTTCGGAGACAGAACAGCTTTTAATCACCCGCTGATGAAGCGTTTTTTCTAAAAGATGTTCAGAGACACAGGCCTGCTTCACGTCCACTTGCTCCACAGTGGGATTTAACGCTGGTCCTGCGAGCCCTGATCAAAGCTCCAATTGAGCCTCTGGATCAGGTTTTCACTTAAATTCTTGTCTTTTTAAACAGCCCTGCTGCTGGTTTTAACACCCGCTAAGAGGGTAAGTAATTATCTGCCCTCTCTGTTGCTTCGTCATGCCTTAGAATTTAGGCTGACGAGCAGCTCAGCTGATTTAAGACCAACCCAGCTTTTATGCCTAAAACATCACGAGCTCTTTTAAATCAAGAGTGATATCGTTGGAGGGGTCTTTCCCCCCCCCCACAGATCAGAAGAGGAAGCATCTTTTCATCTTCTCTGCCCGGTGCGGGCGTTGACGTGTTACATAACGCGCACAGCTGCAATGCGTTTCAAACTCAACAATTGTTTGTGCATTATAGAGATGCTTCTGCAGGTCGCCGTTATCCATCCAGCGCTTGTCACACTGGCTGTGTGAGGCCTTTTCTGAAGCCTACAGAGCATCAGATCTAGAGTCTCCTGTCAACCTCTAAGCACATTCGACCAGGGGTATCGCATCTTCGACTGCTCTGCATAATGGTATGTCAATGCAGGACATTTGCACTGCGGCTGCATGGTCAACACCCTGCTCATTTATTCGCTTTTACCTACGTGATGTAACGGCTCGTTCCATGACACATTCTGTCCTTAGTGCTCTAACAGAATGAATATTGTTGTTCTCATGGAACTCTGTTTAAGCTCACTTCTGTCTACATGCATTACAGTGTGAGATGTTGTTTTCAGTCACAAGTCGTGTCTGTGATTTTGGTTCTATTGTCACTAATCAGTTCATGATTATTGTTACCAATCAGTTCATTTGATTAATAATCAATTCATGGACATTAATCTGTTTATACTGTTCAGCCATGAACCAGTTGGTTCATGCCCCCCCCCCCCCCCCCCCCTCTTTTCAACTTCTTCTTCCCGTTGAAAGTTTTCCGGGGCATTCATGCTTTGTCAGAACGCATAGTTACTCAACATGCGTCTGTGCATGGCACATAATTACGCGATGCGTAGTTATGCACACGGGGAGCTGAGTGACAAGACGTTTTTTGGGCAAGCTTCCGCTTCTTACTGTGTTCGAATGGACCCAATGAGGCGAGGACCACATCGGCTTCGCCCTTTACCCACTAAAGCGAAGGCCTTAAAGGGCGAAGCTTATACGACATAGAACGTTGGTTACGTACTGTAACCCCAGATTCTATGAGTATAAGCGTAGCCCTTTAAGCCTCGGGCCTCACTGGCTCCTAAATGGCTGAAGAAAAAGCTATTTTGGGAGCCGATTTCCCGCTCTTAACGTAATTTATACGGACCGGGTGGGGCCCACACAGCAGGTGGGCGTGGACTAATTTTTTCAGTGCTTATGCTCTGCATAACGGGATAAACCCACTAAAGCGAAGGCCTTAAAGGGCTACGCTTATACTCATAGAATCTGGGGTTACAGTACGTAACCAACGATCTCTACTCTGCAGTGGCCGAGAACACTGTCACACGGCAGAGAGCAGCCGGTGGAAGAGAGCTGAGATCACGACGTGCTGTGCTCTTGTAGAGTGTTTAGTTTAGAAACATCCATCCATCCATTATCTTTACCCGCTTATTCCATTTTGGGTCACGGGGGTCGCTGGTGCCCATGTCCAGCAGTCACTGTGCGAGGGGCGGGGTACACCCTGGACTCAGCTCATGAAAACCCAAAATGCCTGTCTCAAAAAATTAGCATATCATGAAAAGGTTCTCTAAACAAGCTATTAACCTAACCATCTGAATCAACAACGTAACTCTAAACACCTGCAAAAGATTCCTGAGGCTTTTAAAAACTCCCAGCCTTGTTCATGAAAAGCTGAAAAGCTTTATGGAGATGAAGATTTCATTTTTCAGCACGACCTGGCACCTGCTCACAGTGCCAAAACCACTGATAAATGGTTTACTGACCATGGTATTACTGTGCTCAATTGGCCTGCCAACTCTCCTGACCTGAACCCCATAGAGAACCTGTGGGATATTGTGAAGGGAAAGTTGAGAGACGCAAGACCCAACACTCTGGATGAGCTTAAGGCCGCTATCGAAGCATCCTGGGCCTCCATAACACCTCAGCAGTGCCACAGGCTGATTGCCTCCATGCCACGCCGCATTGAAGCAGTCATTCATGCAGAAGGATTCCCGACCAAGTATTGAGTGCATAACTGAACATGATTATTTGAAGGTTGGTGTTTTTTGTATTAAAAACACTTGTCTTTCATTGGTGGGATGAAATATGCTATTTTTTTGGGACAGGCATTTTGGGTTTTCATGAGCTGTATGCCATAATCATCAGTATTAAAACAATTAAAGACCTGAAATATTTCAGTTGGTGTGCAATGAATCTGAAATATATGAAAGTTTCATTTTTATCATTACATTATGGAAAATAATGACCTTTATCACAATATGCTAATTTTTTGAGAAGGACCTGTATATGTATATATA